CTTTGTTCAGCAGATATTATCCAGCTATCAAATGTGAGCCAGGCTCCATCCGAGTGCCACTGGTGAATATGGTTGACGTGACCCCACAGAGCTGACATGCTACTGAAAATAAGACAAATGGCCCAGAAAATACGTGAGAAGCTAGGCCTACTGACCTAAGCCAGTAATCCCAAGTGCTCATGAGGCTGAGATAGGAAGATCGTGATTTCAGTCTCCCTGGGCTACAAAGCGAGTTCTAGGCCAGCCTGAAGTTTAGTTAGACGTTATCTTAAATTAAAAATATAAAAGTATAGTCAAATAAAAATAAAAACAACAGGGGCTACCGATGTAGGTCAGGGTCAGGGTGCTTGTCTAGCACATATGTGGCCCTGGGTTCAGTCTCCAGTACCAAAAAAAAGAAGAAGAAAGAAGAAAGATGGTAATTTCTGAGTATCATGCATAGTATAAACAGGAGGTTGGTGACCTACAGATGTGGGTGTCTGCAGAAGCTGTGAGGAGATGACCTGAGAACCAGTACAGGATAGGGGAAGCCAACACTTGTTGGCCGGGAACAGAGTGCTGCTGCAAGAGAAACAGAATGTGGGCGTTTGCAAGAGGAGGCCTGTGTGGTAGAGGAGTGCAGTCAGGTCAGAAGAGTAAGCCCCGCCATGTGGGACCTTGCTAGAGAAGGAGTTTGTCCTTCCCCTGAATGCTAGGGAGAAGTGAGGGACCGCTTTGTGTTTGTGTCTTTAATGGTAGGGGATTATTTTCTAAAGTGAAATGAAGCACGTCTTAGGTGTGAAATTTGATGAACTTATATGTCATTGTATTTTAAGTGAAAAGAGACTGCACAATCTATTTCTATTCTGGAGAGGCCAGTGACAGCCAAATGGACAGATAGATACAAAGATAGAAAGATGGATGGATAAATGGACAGATACAGAGGTAGAAAGATGGATGGGTGGATAACTGGACAGATACAGAGGTAGAAAGATGAGTGGGTGGTAGGTGGGTGATAGACAAACAAACAATATTCCATCTTGTTATAAAACATAGTATGGCTCTGGGCAGGTATTTCTTTACTGAATTTTGGAAAAGAGTGGTGGAAGATGCCATCTGATATTGTCTTCTTGCCATCTCTGCCCCAGGAAAAGGCCAAGTGGGGGCCAAGAGAAGGAGTTTGACTCCGGTTTGTGTCAGTTGGCTTCAGCTTGGGCCGTCAGGTCCCCCAGACGTGCTTGTTGATTGTGGTTAGCAGATGTGGCCTAGATTTTTCTGCCCTGCCAACAGGCCCAGCCGATTCATCCTTCTCTTTGTTGAGGATGACTCATGAACTGGACAGGCATGTGATGTTTGTGTCTGCGGTGTGATTCTCAAGGGTTATTGAAAAGGTCCCTCTCGGAAGGTAGCTTCTGCATTGCTGTTTTCTAGTACCTGAAAATCTGTTGTTCAGGGGCCCTATGGTTGATCTAAGTCTCTGAGTTCCCATGAGCCTGCTTAGTTGATTCTGTGGGCTGAGTTCTCCTGGTGTCCTCCATCCGCTCTGACTCCTACATTCCTTCCACCCCTCTTCCGGAGGATTCCCTGATCTCCAAGGGGAGGGACCCAATAGAGACCTCGAATTTAGACTCTTCTCTCTGCATAATGTCTGCTGCTGGAGGAAGATCTATAATGATGACTGGACAAGGCACCAATTTATGCGGATAGCATAACAGTAAGAAACATGTCATTGATATTTATTTATCTATTTATTTATTTGCCAGTCATGTTTGGTTCTACCCTAGGTCTCTAGGCTATACAGTCTCTAGTTCCCGGCCATCCAGGCAATGTCAGGTCTAGGCTCCCTCTCATTGCTGGGCCTTCAATTAAACCAGACATTGGTAGGCCACCCCACAAGTTCTGTGCCACCCTTGCCCAAGCACATCTTGCAGGGCTGGGATGGTGTCTAGGTTTCTCGTTCTCTAACCTGCAGAATTCCTACCTTCCCGAGCCAAATGGACTAAAGCCTGGAGGAGAAGGCTCCATGCAGGCACCTGTCCAACCTCTACATTCCGTGAGCTGTGTGGATGTTGTCCTCAGCAGTGGGACCCCACTGCCAGTTTTCTGTCCTAGCATCAGCATGGGTTGTTTAGGGATCTCAGTCAACAACTCAATCGAATGCAACTCAGTCCCACGCCTAGGCCTGCCTAGCTACACAAGATGGCCAGTTCAGACTCCATATCCTTCATTACTAGGAGTCCTCATGGGGTCAACCTCATAGATTTCACTTCCCCCAAAGCCTGCCCCTGATTCCAGCTGTCTCTTCCCACATTCTCTCCTTCCACCCCCACCCCCACTACCTGATCCTCTGCTCCAGCTCCCACCGCCCCCAATTCCTCTTGCCAGGGAGATCCATGCTTCCTTCTAGAGCCCTCTTGTTTGCCTCCCTCTCTGTGTCTGTGAACTGTAGCTGTGTTTGTGACTGTGCATTTACTTAATGGCTAATATCCACTTATAAACAAATATATACTATATTTATCTTTCTGGGTCTGGGTTACCTCACTCAGTGATTTTTTTTTCTAGTTTCATCCATTTGCCTGTAAATTTTATGATTTTTTTTTAAACAGCTGAGTAGTACCTCATTGTGTAAATGAACATTTTCTTTATCCATTCTTGTGTTGAGGGATACCTAAGTTGTTCTCAGTTTCTGGCTCTTATGAATAAAGCTGCAATGAAAATGGTTGAGCAGGATGGAGTGCACTTTGAGTATATGCCCAAGTCTTGAGGTAGATGATTTCCAACTTTCTGAGGAACTGGTAGATGGCTACTTCTTACCAAGTCCTCACAAAGTCTTTTCTTGGTGCACTCATACATCTGTGTCCGGATTCCCCTTTTTGTAAGAACACCAATCATACTGGATAGGACCGCCACCCCCCCAAGGACCTTATTTATCTTAATTGCTTTTTCAAAAGCACTGTCTCCAAATATAGTCAGTAAGGATTTATTCCATAGTACTGCAATTGTTTTTCTTTATCCATGCATCATGTTAATGTAGTAGTATAACAATAGATTTATCCTATAATTACTTACAATGTATTTTAATTATACCATCTTATGTGATTTGTTTAGCATATATAATTATAATCTATAATATATATAATGTATAATTTCTCTCCATAAGCCATTAGAAGGAAAATTATAGCCACTCTGTTACCTAAATGTGTGTATTGTAGAAATTAGAACATTCTCCTTTTGGAGTATTTGATGTCCTTTGTAATGGTGAGGAGAGAGCTGGGCATGGTGGTGCACGCCTTTAACCTCAGCACTGAGGAGGCAGAGGCAGGTGGATCTCTGAGTTTGAGGCCAGCCTGGCCTATAGAGCGAGTTCCAGGACAGCTAGGGCTACATAGAGAAATGTTGTTTTGGAAAATGAAAAAGTAAAATAATACTAATAATGATGAGGATAGGACTGATAAGCATAAAATGGCTCTGGCCCCAGCTGCAAGTTTCTAGACCATTCTCTGGTGAGCCCCCACCCCTCTGAGGCTTGGCCTGCTTCTAGGAAAACCTGCTTTCAAAAGCCATTCAGGCCAGCAGGGCCTCTTGGCTTCCACTTGAGGTTCTTTGGCATTGTTGAGGTTTTGGGTTCACATGTGTCAAGGACGCAGCAGACTTCCTGATAGCTGCACCAGCTTTTCAGTCTCTGTACCAACATGACTCGAGATGGCAGGCTTGCTTGCTATTGCAGTCTTTTATGGGCAGCCTTGCCCTGCCAAATGTGGACTGCTGTATTTATTCAGAGAGCAGGGTTTATTGACTTGTGTTCTGTTTTCTCTCTAACCCTCCTCCTGCTGTTCCTCTGGCAGCTTGGGATTTCTCCAGAAGTTAGTTCTCGCCTGCTACCAGTTGTGATTAGGGATCTTTCATGCCTTCAGTCTTTTTATTTCTTAGCACTTCAGTGGGGGTAAATATCACACCAGCAGCACTTGTGGTGATTGTTTTAGTTGTGGAATGTTGCCAAGAGCTTTAGGAATACTTGTAATAGTGAAACTTTATTTCCTCTGTTCTAGACAGTGTGCCCAGACCACTCGGGCACAGGTGTAAACCTGGTGAGTTCTTTGCCAGCCCAGGTTGAACAGGTTATTGCTGCCTCTTCCATAGAACTGTGAGCACAGCCAGCATCCTTTCTCAGGGCCTCCACCCAGGAAGCCATGTCTGCATAGTTCTTGGGGCTGCTTTTCTAAGCCAACTCTGCTTAGACTCTCCTGGCTCTTCCTTTCCTACAGGATTCACTCCAGACTCCCTGACCCAGTACTCAGGACCCCACTACCCAATTTGGTCCATGTTCAATGTGCCGCCCTCTTACCTGCTGTTTCTGCAACAGACTTTCTTGTTATCTACTATGGTGAGACCTATTAAATCATTCTGAACACACAGCCATGTTCTGTTGCTGTACCTGTGAGCCCATGAAGCTGTGTCTGCTCGGCGTCCATGCTCCTCTCTTGTCTTTCAGCAAGCTCTTACTCAGCCTTGAGGACTTAGAAGCCAGTCCCAACTACTGCTTCCAGACTCAAATTTGTCTCTTTTCTAGCACTTTCCGTCCTGTGTGACTACATAGCTCTGCCTGTTTCCTAGACAGCTAACTTTACATTTGTATCCTCAGTGTCTGGCCTGGAGTAGACAGTAAACCTCAGGATAAGTGGGTGGGTTGTCCTCAGACAGAACATACGCTAGAGTGAGAAGCCACTGCATTGTCCTTTGCTGTTCCTGGTCATTACCTAAGTGAGCTTTGTCAGAAGGAAATGCAGGTTGTGCACCCTGCGAGAAGTCTCGCTTAATAAGTATCTCATTCTGAAGAATCCATGCAGACAGACGGCAGTACAGGCTCTCGGTAACCTTCACGTGAGCAATACGTGTATGTGTTGAGCTAACAATGTATTTTAAGTCAACAGTGTAAGTAGCAGGTGGACTGATAACCCAACCTGTGTATGTACTTTGCTTTGCTGTTTTGAGAAACTACTGATGTCTGTCTGTTCTTCCAGTTAAGCGCTTCCGAGAACCAAAGCATGAAAGACGACCATGGAGGATATGGTATGTACCAGCATGCTGACTCACCCTAGAAGGCTCTCTGCTCTGTTGGGGATTTGGTGGGGACTGGCAGCAGTGTTTTGGGGTAGGTAGGGCATAGAATAGGAGAGAGTATGTATCATATAAAGGATGAGGAATTCCTCATGTGGGTTTTAGGCACGCTGTGTAATATGCAGTTAGACCTGTTTCTTTCCCCTTTATTTATAATGTTGCTTTCAGCAGTGGACGATGGCAGCACAGGTGTGGCAGCCTCTGCTGCGGATCTCCTCGTTTCGACTTGTTACGAGATTATTCTTGACTTCTGCAGTCTGTATGTGTAAACAAATGCAAATTTATTTGGAGATTCGTCATGCATATGCCAGAGATCCTTAGAACACCCCCTACCAGATGTGACCCAAAACTCAAGGAAACAGTGTTTATATTTCCTGATTTGTTATGAAGGACGCAGATAAATGGCTAGACGGAGAGGTTCGGTGAGCCGGAATGTCCCGAGCACAGTCCTGTGACGATGGCTTTAGAACACACTATCCCCTGTGTACCAGTTCATTGTTCACTGATTCCAAAGTACTCCAGGCCCCATGTGTTAAGATCACTAGACTTGCCTGTCTGTTAACTTAGTCTACAGCCCTTCTTTTCTCCCTGGAGTATGGTGGGTCTTGGTTTAATCACAACTTAGTCTTTCAGTGGCCTTGCCATCCTAAATCTTTGTAGGAAATAGTCACCTTTTTAGAACAAAAGAGGCTCCTATCAACCAGGACAGTCCACAGTTGGAAGTCCACATATTGCAAGTCTGAGGGGACCTGGGGCCAAACACCAAGTATTAGGACAAAGGATATTCCTCACACCTCTAGCACTTGGGAAGTTACAGGAGCCTTGGGACTCTGGATCAGGGGTGGAGAGCAAGTGTTTAGTGTAGATACTCACTTTGTGTAGAAGGACCCTACAGTAGCAGTTGTGTGTTCGTTATTTGGTGGTCAAGCTTCAGAAATAGATTCCAAGGACGAAACTCCCAAACAGTAAGTCATTTGGCAGGAGACAAGCAGGCTTCAGGGAACAGTGTGGACTACCCTGAACTCACTCCTGCCCTAAGGAAACTTCCGCTCCCCTTCAGAAGACCCCATCGCCAATAAGTGCGATAGGAATTGTCACGCATGCACTCTCTGGTTCTTAAAGACTTGTTCCCACAGGTGGGGAATTCGTATTGGTCTCACTCCGTCTCTGATTCTCCCAAACCTGTCATTTAGTCCTACTCTCACAGCTAGTGAGGAAAACGAGACCCTCTGCATCTCACACATGTTGTTTGGTATCTCCTTCCACTGCGTTTAGGAATGACTTTGCGGCTTGGTCTGGGTGATCTGTGGCTGCTCTCCTGTCAGGTTGGTAACCCTTGCTGGTTCTGTTTTGTGCAGGTTTTTAGACACTTCCAAACAAGCCATAGGGATGCTGTTCATCCACTTTGCAAATGTGTACCTAGCAGATCTCACTGAAGAGGACCCTTGTTCACTGTGAGTCTTGTATTTGAATTCAACCTCAGTTGAAAAATCAGCTGGCCTTCTCTTCCCTTGCCAGTGCAGCCCTCTTGCTTGGGAGAGGCACCCATCCCTTCCCTTCTGAATTCCTCTCTAGTTTCATCCTATGCATGCCTTCATGAGTTTATATACTCGGCTTTTGGTTGGCTCTTAGGGCTTTGACAGTTACCTTGTGTATTGGCTTTCTACTAATCAGTCCAAGTTCAGGCCTAGCAGCCCCATGTTTCCAGCACCCTCCCCCCAAGCAGGACAGGATAGCACAGCAGGAGCAGCTCTGTGCCAGTTACAGAGCACATAGGCTTTCCGATGTGATGTGAGATGCTGTACTTCTACTAGGAGGAGGAGTGGTCATTCCCTTAGCAGACAGAGTGGCAGAGGTTTTTTTTTACCCCAATCCTAACTCTTGCTCCCCATCTTCAACTTCAAGTTAGAGGTGCCAAACGTTCACACGGTGCAGAGGTGGTGGAGCTAGACTTCAACCAGTCTGCGCCATGGCCCCATGGTGCTCTGATGCCTGAGTGGATCTCCTGTGTTGAATACAGAGTAGTTTCCAAGTACAGCACACAGTGGGTTCAGGAAGTATTTGACAAGTATATAAATGAGTGCAAGACTGGATGTACCCATTCCTTGGTATTTTTCAGGCTTTACCTCAGATATGGAAATGCAGGTGTGGATGGCTTTCCTCACCAATTAGAGCCGTAGCCTCCTGCCAGCATAGAAGTTGCTTTGGAAGCTGTGGCTGTTCTTTCTGACTCTGATCTGAGAGTGACCTCTTGTGTCTTTAAGGGGGAAGAGCAAGCTGCCTGCCTCCCTCTCCATGCTTATTTTTTTTTTTTTGGGTTCTGGGGACTGAGCACAGTATGCTGCCCCCATATTGGAGTGTTGTGCACAGCACATAACCAGGATGGAGCAGAGGTCTGCTAGTCTGCATGAAACGTCTCGGTCCTAGCAGCTCAGAAGCTCTTGAGCTTATCTACAGGGAGTTCAGAACCATTGGTGTCACAGAGGGTCAGGACCTGCCTCAGTGACCTCATTTTCCACGTAGTCTCTCTTGGATAGCTGGAGCCTGTGTCTAGTAGTGCTCAGTTAGATCTAGGTATAGGGCCCTTGAGGGGGGGCAGGTAAACAAGATGTTTTACCTTGGTGAGAAAAGGTTTTGTGTCTGGAGAATGCCTTGCAGGAATGTGTGGTCTCTATGGGCATGCCTCCCCACGCCCCTTCCTCCAGTCCTCTGGCCTTTTCTCAGAGCAGCAGAACTCTCACTGAAATATAAAAGTCAAGTCTGGGAGTGAAGTTATGGCAGAGCATCTGCCTAGCATATATACAGGGTACTGGGTTCCAGCACCAGCACCACTACAAAAAAGTGAAACTATTGTTTGCACACATGATTACAGATGGGGTGAACATGTGGCTGTGTGACCTGCCTGCTTTGTCTAAGAAGTCTCAGAAACCATTTTCCTTGAATGCCCTGGGAAAGTGGCACAGTTCTATGACCTCATGTGGCTTGAACCGTCAGGGAATGAGCAGAATTACTTAATGGACTTATTGTTGTCAGTTGGGTTTTCTTTTCCTCTCAGATTCCTTGCTACTTCCAGGTATGCTGTCTTCTATTGAATCTTGGCCTTGGCACATTCACTTGAAATTTATAAAGTGTCTTTGTCCTTCTCGTTCCTGTTCTTCAAGTTTTCAGTGTTAGCGCCTTTTCAGACACCTAGAAATGGAAGCCGCCATTTCCATTGCCCCTTGCATAAATACATGTAAGGGTACCACTCTCTTCCAGTAGGTCAAACAAAGACTGGATCTTTTAGCCTGATCCCAGACCCTGGTAAGTGCTTCACTGAGGCCCCAGCTTAGTGGCTTTTGTTCCCTGACCATGCCGGTATGGCCTCTCTTTCTAGGTACCTCATCAACTTTCTTCTGGACGCCACTGTAGGCATGCTTCTCATTTATGTGGGCGTACGCGCTGTCAGTGTCTTGGTGGAGTGGCAGCAGTGGGAATCCCTGCGTTTTGGAGAATATGGTAATGTCCATGGACACTGGGTAGAGCGTGTTGGGGACTACTCACCCTGTGTAGCTCGGAAATCTGGAGGCTTGTGAAACAGAAAGGGGTGTTTTTTAGGGTCTGACTATCACTTTCCTGGGGGCAGGAAGGAAGTATCAAGGCCAAAACACTCACTTTTACGGGAGAGAAAATGGCAGAAGCCAGGGGAAGCCCTTCTATCAGAGGCACTTGTGATTCCATCTGCAGGACTGTGAAGCCACATCTGCTGAGATCCCCAAAGATCTCACCTCACCTGCCCACACATTAGAAAGAGGGGCCGAGTCTTGTCTGGGAAGGTAGTCCAGTGTCTGCCCTGTCACTTGGCCATTCTGCTGACTGGAGTGTGCATCCCCTCTGAGGTCAGGTTAACTATACACTTGTCCCCATCTAACATGTGGCTGTCCCAGTCACTCAGACATGAGGTCATCACCACCTAGATAGAAGGCTTCAGGCCAGCAGCTTGGTTTACAAGGCCTACCTTGTGAGACCCCTGTGTCAGGTCCTGAGTCAGAAGCTGCCTTTGGCTATTAGCATATGAAGAGTTGAAGGTGACCTCCATAGGGGCTGCTAATGCCTGGCTACTCTTCTGAAACAGTGTTAGTAGAGCTTCACCACAAGAGGGCACCAAGGCAAACACAAGAGTTGTGGTTAGACATCTGGATCCACATTCCCCTGTCAGGCCATCCAAACAACCCATGGCTCTGGGCCCAGAGAACTGCTCACTTCTAGGTGGCTGAAGATCTCTGAGGGGCTGACAGTTTAAAAGGGCACATGATGGGCGGAGCTGGCTGTGGAGTGCCTTGGGAATTTCTAGAAATCTTAAGTAATTGTTTGTCTTCAGGGAAGATGAGCTCAGGGGAGGGCTTTTCTTAGCCTGTTACTTGATGCCCGTGAGTCACTGACTTAAGATAGTGCTGCACACAGCATGTCTGCAGGACTCAAGGGAAGGCCTTTGCAGTGCCCAAATCATAGCGCTCTCAGCTTGCAGGACAGAAATGGGCCACACCGCATGTGGACCGAGTCTGCGTCATTCTCATTTATAAAATGGACAGCTAGAGGAGTTAAGTGACAGAGCAGCTGGGGCATGTGTGAGGCTCTGTCCTCTGCACCAGGAGTCCTAACACCTTCCCTGCCTCCACTACTCTCAGTGTGCTTTTACTGTGGCGCTCCCTTCTGGAAGCAGAGACTGTGTGTGAGCCCTGTCCTCTTGGCCGTTCCCTTAACTCACTCACTGCTGTTGGGGACTAGAGTCCTCAGTGTCTCCAAAGCAAATGTCCCTTTGTCAAGGACTGTCCCAAGTCCTCCTCTCCTAAACTATCTTCCCCAAAGCTGCTGCTTTTTAGTTGTCTGTTGTCGATGTTTTCAGTTGCTGCTATAACAAACCACACAGGCTTTGTGCCTTAAGACAAACCCATTGATTTAATTTGTAGTTCCTCCAGAAAGTCTAACCCAGTTCTGTTGGGTTAACACGAAGGCATTAGTAGGTAATAGGGATGGTTGTTCTGTTACCCTGCCACCCTCTAGTTCTCTCTGGGTCCCTTCGCTCATGATTCTCTCCCTCTGCATTCATAGCCAGTAGCCAAGCTCTTCTCAGGGCATTCCAGCCTGACCTTCCACCTTGAAGGGCCCCTGTGATTCCCTGATTGTACCTGGACACTCCATATATTCCACTTAGAGTCTGAATCACAATCTTGATTCCATTAACGGCCAGAATTTCCCCTTGGCTAGGTCACAGCACGTGTCATGGGTTCTGGAGATGGGGATGTGAGCATCTTTGCAGGGCCAGCACTCTACCTTCCGTACCTGTGAACTTGCCTGTCCAGTTGAGGCAGGAGCTCCATGTAGGCCCCACAGCTCTCGGGTAAACAAAGAAGAGGGGTTTGCTCTCCAGATAGCTTGCAAACAAACTCCCAGGTGTGCACTCAGTCCAGCCTCAGTGACCTGTGGCCTGGGTACACAGGAGGAGAGGGTGTGTGGGTGGATCAACTGGACACGGGTGCTTTTTTCCATCTTTGGTGGTTTTGAATATTTTTATTTTAGTTTCAAAAAACAGAAGGCAGTGGCAACTCCACTGTATAGACAAACTTACAAAGAGGAGGAATAATTTCTCCTTTGTCACTCACAGCTCACAAGCAAATGGAATGAAGTTACACTCTGACAAGTGAGTGTCCTTGTAAACAAATGGTGTCACTTGTCTGCTGGCCTCCAGACACACTGGTCCCTTTCAGACATTTCCCAGGGGTACGTCCTTCGCGGCTGTCACCATTCTTGCCTAAAAGTTTCAGCAAATAGTTTCCTCTCCTGTTCAAGTGACCTTTTCTCAGTAAGGTCAGGTGACTTACCAAAAGTATTGCAAAACTTGGATTATCAGCTTTTCCAGGAGGGTTGGTCCTTGTGAGGTGCTGTGCTGCAACTTAAATGCCCTGCCCCCCTGCCCTGGGGCAGAAGTAAATAGGAAGGCATTAGAACAGGCAGCTAGTGTGTGTCTGTGTGCTTCCTGACTGCCTCCTAGCCTTGTCCAGAAAAGGAAACAGCAGAGTCTGGTGTTCGTCCATGAAACTATGTAAAAGCATTCTCTTGCTTCCACTACATTCAGCTTGCAGGCCCAGGCAGAGCTGGGGGCCTGCAGTGGGAATGCCTGGGGTTGCTATGGAAACAGAAGAATCCAGTGAGAAGTTAGAGCTCTATTTCTCTGCAGACCAGATTCTCTTCCAGAAATGTGAATTTGCCCCTGTTGTGGTCAGTGGAGCACAGACTGCTCTGGTTGAGCATCCAGAGCACAGCCCTGGCACCGGCTCTCCCACTTGGAGGAGGCCTCTTGTAAGGTTCTGTGCTCCCTTAGATCATGCTCTGGAGAGGCTGGTCCTCCACCATTCTTTGAGTCCCTTTTTGAAGCATTTTAGAGGTACTGTGGGGCCCAATCCCCCATTGTGGACTGTTGGGCCCTTCCCAATCATTTCCTGAGCATAGCCACTGACAGACCCACAGACAAGCCTCGGTCGTAGCTCTGGCCTCAGCCTGTTTGCACCCTTGTGAGGGCTTCTCTCTTCTTTGTCCTAGCCAACGTTAATAGGTTGCCCCCAAAATTTGTTTTTGTTTTAATTCTTTAAAAAGGCCCTGGAAAGAATCAACTTGTCATTCCTTTACATGAGTTCAGTCGGAATCTGACTTCTCTAGGTCCGCTTGATGTTCTCAGGACTGAGAATGGGTGGCGGGAGGAGGAAGAGGACAGAGAAGTTGACTGCTGCATTTCTTACTGCAGTGCCAGACTCAGTAGTGGGCGGAGAACGGAAGGGGTAGCACCAGTCGCTGGGGGTCAGCTGTAGATAGTAGTAGTGCTCTCGCTTCACCCAGAGAGCCAGCGGTCAGCTCTTGCTAACTTTAGTGCCTCTTAACTCTGTCCTACGAGTTTTTGAAAGAAAAACATTCTGGTATGTCCAAATTAGGAATTCTGGCTTTATTCAGAGCACTGCCTGCTTAGGAATGAGGTGCTTTGTAGAGCTTTAGGGACTCATGAAGGACCTTAGAGCCAGGGTTCTGGGATGCAGCTAGGGGTACAAGCTGCAAGGGGGTTGTGGGTGGGTGTTGTCCTACTCAGTTCCTGGGCCCATGTGACTAAGCACCTCCCTGTCCCTGCAGGAGACCCTCTGCAGTGTGGGGCCTGGGTGGGGCAGTGTGCCCTTTACATCGTGATCATGATCTTTGAAAAGTCTGTCGTCTTCATCGTCCTTCTCATACTCCAGTGGAAAAAGGTTTGCCTCCTCCTGCATGTGCAACTCCCTGCTGAGTCATCAGACAGCATCTCACATCGCCCCAGCCCCAGCCTGCTTGTTTTTGTTTTAGCTCCGTGAAATCCTGGATTTGGTCCGATAGAACAGCTCTTTATAGAGTATTAATCTGTCGTTCTTGTAGTGGTGTCCGTGCACTGCCAGTGAATACACGTCTTCTCTAGACTAAACTGTGGGCACATGCAAACTTAATGGAAGCACAGTCCCTTCTGGGGTGTTGCTTGGTCTGGTTAGTCTGAAGACTTTGTAACTGTGACTGTGTCTAGCTGGCCAACGTCCTTCATGCATGTGTCCGGGCTAGCCAGTTCAGTTTCTAAGGTCTGTCTCCACCTACATATCATCCTCCCTGGGAGTATCCCCAATCCTGCCCTCTGTTCTCTGACCCCAGTGCTACTAGATACACCTGTGCCACTCATTCCTGTATAAAATAGCCAAGGAGCCTTCTAACACATGTGGCTCAGATATTGGCTTTCTTTTGGTTTTATCTGTGACTGAGGTTTTACTTTTTTTTTTTAAGAAAATAAGCCAAAGTCTTTCAGAGCTGCTGTGCACCAAGGTGATGGCTGTACAGGATTTCTCCTGGAGAGTGGTCTAGCACCTCATTGTCCAAGTCTCTAGTGATCACCCACTGAGTTTCCCCTGCTGCTCCTCTCAAGGGCTTCAGGATGCTCCCTACTGGATTGGGTCCCACTTTTGTGAGAGTTAGCCAAGAAGAGGCTAGAGATAATGGGCCAGGCAGTGTTTTAAATGAATACAGTTTCCGTGTAATTATTTCGGGTAAGAGCGTCACTCTGTTGTAGAAGGAACAACGGGCCGTTTCCCACCGCCCAGCTCCCAGCTAGCTTTACCCGAAATAAGTACATGGAAATTATATTCACTTCAACACTGCTTGGCCCATTAGTTCTAGCCTCTTATTGGCTAACTCTCACATATTGATTCAACCCATTTCTAATAATTTGTATTGCCACTTGACTGTGGCTTACCGGCATGAATTTAACCAGCGTCCGTCTCAGAGAGAAGAGCCATGGAATCGGCCTGACTCTGCCTTCTTCCCAGCATTCTGTTTGGTCTACACCACCTATCTAAGCTGCTGTCCTATCAAAAGGCCAAGGCAGTCTCTTTATTTAACCAATGAAAGCAACACAAAGAAAGAAGACCCTCCTACATCACACTTGGATCTGACTCCGTAGCCTCAGGTCTACAACAAGGGGAAGCTTCTAAAGGGCACATGACCCAAAGTGGCTCCAAGGGTCCCTTATCAACAGTCAGATCTAGGGTCCGCACCGCCGCCGTGAGCCTACAGGGTTGTTTCCAGTGGCTCTTGGTTAGTGTCTGAGTCTGTGTGTTGTTCTGCGGTCTGCTCCTCACTGTGTCTGTTTCTCTCTGCAGGTGGCCCTATTGAATCCAATTGAAAACCCAGACCTGAAGCTGGCCATCGTCATGCTCATTGTCCCCTTCTTTGTCAATGTCAGTGCCTGGTTGCGTGTTTTACCCCAGCTTGTACCCTGCCTTCACGGGTTCCTGTTCAAAGCCCCAAGTGTGACACAAAAGTCACGTTGTAGCCCCCATGCAGACCTTTCTATGTAGCCATCCCATAGCCAGTCTTGGAAATGGTGGGAGTCCTTCCTCAGAAGTCAAGTACCCTCTCCAGGGCCCCTATTTCAGATGAGGGATCCTAGGAAGTATGGCTTGCCTTCCCTGCTAGGCCACTTCCCACTGAAATATCCCAGGATAGGTGTAACTTCTAGATCAGGGTCATTTCAAGTGTTCTCCAGATATTTATTGCTGAGTACCGACATCAGAGAAACTCATGAGCACAGTGGTCAAAAGTGAGGAACCAGGGTGTAGAGTGCTGAAGGAACCGGGGGTTCCCTGAAGCAGCAGACTGTGTGGCCCCCTGTGAAGGACCCATGAGGGCTCAAAGCAGGTAGTTAAAGATCTTGGTTCTAGGCCCAACACAGGCTACTTGGTTTGTTTTGTTCTTTTGAGACAGGGTCTCACTACATAGCCCTGGCTGTCCTGGAACTCGCTATGTAGACCAGACTGGCCTTGAACTCATAGAGATTCACTGCCCGGTGGCCTCCCCAGCGCTGAGATTAAAGGTGTGCACCATCACACTTGGCCTCAGGCTGCCTGTTACTTAACACAACAAAACCCCGTGAGTGAGCACAGCAAGAATTATTCTGCTGTTCTCTGATAATAATAAAAGCACAACATAGGAAGTGGAGTGATAATTTCTCTTGGATATTCTGGGAGATAGTCAGGGCTGAGTGGGGTTCTCTTTTCTTACCTCATAGAAGGGTGGCTATGGATCCCTCTGCTTGCTTTGTTCTGGGTTATCCAGAGTAACCTGCACTGTTCCTTCCCACAGGCTTTCATGTTCTGGGTAGTAGACAATTTCCTCATGAGAAAGGGGAAGACGAAAGCAAAGCTAGAAGAAAGAGGAGCCAACCAAGACTCAAGGAATGGGAGCAAGGTTCGCTACCGAAGGGCAGCATCCCATGAGGAGTCTGAGTCTGAGGTAGGGGTCTCCTTGGCTCTCCCAAGGGAGAGTCATACCCTGGCCATCATAACTTGGACTGTGGAGGGTCTCAGGTCTCATGTTTGCATCTCATCTCCTGAATGCTGACTCACAACACTAGTCAGAGAGGAGGAAAAAGCTGAGCTGAAGAGTAGCCCAGGTCACTCAGATCCTCATCTAGCCAGAGCCCAATGCTGTCATATGTGCCTTCCCAGGGTAAAAAGATGCTGCGTGTAGTCAGGGTGACTTGCTACAAATAGTCCCTGTGGACTAGCAGTAGAGACAGCCAGGCAAGGGGAAATGCCCCTTATTCCAGGGAAGCATGGAGGTCCCTAGAGCCCTGTTCTCTACTAACAAGGGAAGTACTGGCTGCAAGCTTTGAAAATATAAGACTACCTCACAGAGGTACCCTCATCTCCCTTTATCTGCTGGGGTCTAAATTCAAGGACTTGATGTAAGGATGCAGCCCAGGGCAGGGGTGTGTGCTCTAGCTGGTCTGCGGCATTCATTGCACTTTTGTGCCCTAGTGTGTTGCAGCAGGGTTGGCTAGCCTGAGGAGACTCCATAGTATCGAGCACTGTGCTGCTAATGGAAGCGGCAGAAGTAGCCGAGATTAGCCAGATTTGGTGATACATGGCTTTAATTCTGCACTTGGATAGTAGAAACACTCAGATCTCTGTAAGAGAGAAAGAGAGAGTCATCCTCTGAGGCTTGAGGATGAGTTGAAGAATGCACTGATAGCTCATCATCACATCATGGTGCGGCCTGCTGGGGGGACTTTTATGTTGTAAAAGGAGCGGCAGGCTATGTTCCTGGCACCCGGCCGCCCACATGGCTAGCTTTATACCCGAAATAATTACATGGAAACTGTATTCTTTTAAACACTGCCTGGCCCATTAGTTCCAGCCTCTTATTGGCTAGCTCTTACATATTGATCTAACCCATTTCTAATATCCTGTGTAGTCCACAAGGTGGCTTACCAGGGAAGATCTTAACCTGCGTCTGTCTGGAGTGGGAGAAACATGGCGACTCCCTGACTCAGCTTCTTTCTCCCAGCATTCTGTTCTGTTTACTCCACCCACCTAAGGGTCAGCCTATCAAATGGGCCAAGGCAGTTTCTTTATTAATTAACCAATGAAAACAACAGATTAGAAAGAAATCAATCCCATATCACTTTTAGAAGGTGAGTAGATTAGATAGAGGGCAAGCCCACAGTTCTCCAAGTTTCTGTTCATAAAATCTGTTACAGCACTTACTGCATCATAAGACTTGGCAAACACTTGATGAATGGCAGATAGCCATAGAGCAGGAGCTACAGCTCATGGGAATTCACAACCACACGGCTTAGCCTCTGATAGTAAAGTGAAGTCCGCATTGGCCAAAGCAGGGAGCGATCAAGTGGTTCCGTCCACAGGAAGGGTGTTGAGCCTGTTTGCCCACCTCTGCAGATGAAGTCCACATTCCCCGTGGTTCTCAGAGCTGTGAGGCCAGCTGCTATGGCAGGAATGAGCAAGTGTGTCCTCAGTGTCTCAGCTGTATGGACGAGTAAAGCAGTTTCCTTCTGCGTCTTCAGAAATGACAGAGTTGGCTCAAGACAGCCCCTTTGGAGCTGCACGCCCCGTGTGGTCCCTGGGATGCTTTCATTCCCTTTTGAAAGAGACCCTGTGATTTCATGCACCCAGGTGACTTTGATAGGGTTTGGGTCTGACTGGAAGTCGGATGAAGGCGTGGGGAAGGGAGCATTAGTAAATTGACGATGAGGGTGGTGACTTTAATGTTAGCTCCAGCAGGCCAGCACATCTCCCTGTGGACCCTCTTCTAAGAATATACAAGAATTGAGGCCTCCCAGAAAGGCTGGCCTCCAAGGAGGATAAGCACAAAAGGAGCTTCTACCACCGGCATCTTAGGCCTTGTCTCTTCACTACCTCAGGTCCTGATCTCAGCTGATGACGAAATGGAGGAGTCTGAGGCCGAGGAGGATCTCCGCAGACTGACCCCCCTCAAACCTGTGAAGAAGAAAAAGCACCGCTTTGGGCTACCTGTATGACACATTCCCACGCTGTGGATGACAGTCATGGGGCCCAGTCCAGCAGCAGCATCCCTTCCCTCTCTCTACCCTCCTCTCTACCTCCACTCCTCTTGCTGTCTCTGCCCGCTCTCCACCCGCCCCAGACTACTGTGACTGAAAAGAGGGAAGAGGAACCGTGCCCGAGGGGGCTGTGGGCAGCTGGAGGTCCCGCTCAGTTGCACTACAAACACTGACCAAATATGCAAGCGAAGAGCTGTGTTTGTTGTCGTCCCTTTGGGGTGCTGTGAGACCCCTGTCCTGTGTCTGACCCGGTGGCATGGTGGAAGAAAACAGAGCACACACAGACTGCCGGGCCCTCGTGCCGAGGCTTGGGCCTTGTGGACACGTGACGGCTTAGGGTTAACAGCCTCTGGTTGACCCAAGTTGGAATAGGAATGCTTTCTTACTCAAAAGGCTTTTGTAACTCTTTATTTCTAAAGCCAGTTTTATGAGCTGTGACAGTGTTACTGTTTTTTGAGTATGTGTTTATTTCCTACAAAGTATCTATGGGTCTAATGGGCAAACAGATTTTTAAGTCTTCCGTATGCTGTTTGACTTTTATATTTTTAAGTTATATTTTCATACTACTGTATTTAAAACTCTTTTTACTCCCCAAAGAAATGGATTTCTTTGCCTTTCATGGGGTATGAGCTGGTTGGGAGGCGGGTAAAAGTCCGTAGTTTTTCAGCCGGGGTGTTGTTAGGTAACATGTGGTGACGAGAGGAAGGATCTAAGGGACGGGTAGACAACCTTTATCTGTGGTCAGAAATCCAGTGTGCTGAGGTCAGACCTGAGCAGGAGACAGCTGTTCCGAACAGAGCCTTGCCAGGGCGTACAGGCTGGCGTGTCAGGGGCTTTGGTTAAACTTGATTAAGGAGGGAGCTTAAGAGTTAGACATTTGTGTCTGGAGGACTTGGGACCACCAGGCCACTCCTCCCTCAGAGCCTCCCAGGCGCAGACGTGAGAATGGTCCCGGCCTCTGCTTCCAGTGCAGCAGCTCGCAGAGCCAACCTTTGCCTTGGTGCCTGTCACCAGCTGTCACCTGCTTGCTTGCTCAGCTGTCTGGGGAACTCTACCTAGCCAGAAAAGCCTGTTGTCATGTCTTCTGAAGTTGTGAAGTAGCAGGGGCAGAACAGATACCACGAGAACTATTGTCTTACTGTGGAGAGAGTATGAGTTATTTCTAGACTGTGGCTCCTCCTTGGCAGTTACACCCACTTCTCAGCCGGGCCACAGTTTATCTGATGGTACAGGCTGACTTGGCACTCTTCTGTAGAAGCAGCCGAGTGGAGCTGTCTGGTGGCTTGTCAGCCCAACAGGCAGGCACCTCACTACTTCATGGTGTGGCGATCACAGAGGAGGAGACTCCTCAGACTCTTGTAAACCTACGTAAGAATGTGTTTTGCTTAAGCATCTAGGATCTAAATATGCTTGTGGCATGCGACCCAAGCCCTTATCCAGGGTACCTAGGGCCATCCTCTGCCACTTGAAGTCTTACTTTGTCCTAGACAAAGGGTATCTGAGGTGTCTCTCTCAGCTCATCTTCTAGTGCAAGCACCACTGAGAAAGGAAAGGTTGCAGTTGGAGGCTTTACAACATTGGCCTGTGAAATGGATTGGTCAGGCCCTGCGCTGTTCCTATTTCCTTTCCATCCTATAACCACGGTCACTCCCTTCCCCTTCTCTAGGAAGGTTCCATGGGAGTGTTGTGGGTAGAGTACAGCTCGAACTCCTGACGAGGGAGATGGTCAGTTCCTGGCGGCGCTGTGTTATCCTCACACCCCCTGTATCACTGTGCTAGAGATAACCTGTGCTGCCCCAACCCCTGCCATCCTTCCGGAGCTCAGGGCTGGAACCTCATTTTCAGACATGAGCACCTCAGGTTTGCAGACCAGCCAGAGGTGAGGGGACCACTGCAAAAGATGGGAACTCCAGTTGCACAGGCCTCACAGAGGTGATCCGTAAGGTCCTTGCAAGTACAGGGCCTGAGGGACAGAAGAGTGGAATAAATAGGTACTTCTGTGTCCTGACTTTCACTAAGGGCTCTAGTCTGTGAGCTGAAACTCTGCAGCTGACCCAGCAGGAAAGGAGATCCAACAGGGATCTGATACCGGCCCCTGTCTGTGTGCAGGTTTGGTGTGTCTTTGCTCCTCCCCTCTTCCAGTGTGAATGTGTGCACGCACACATCAGCATAAACAGACACTCACACAGTTCTGCATCCCTCAGGAGAGCCTCCTGGGTCACTGAGGCCTTCCTGTTACCATGGTGCACTGCCTCACCAGAGTAGGTGTAGAGGGCTGTGGTCGAGACGTCTTCTGAGCTGTCCTCCCTCCCTGGAATGAGTGTGCCCATCACTTGTTCCAAGGTGCCTTATGAGGTGGGACCCTTCACTGGCTAATGGCGGGCATCACCAAGCTAGGAGAAATAAAAACAGAGTACTCTCTTAGCTGTGGTGCGTCATCAGTCTGTTTCATCCAAATCGGCGTCCTTGCCAGGCTGCTCTGGGCAGAAGCTTGCAAGCCGAGGCGCTGAATGAGTTTTTGTAGCCAACTGAAATAAATGGATGAGAGAGCCGGTACCCAACTCAGAGATGGTGGTTAATTTTTCTTCATTCCATTTGGCTGTTGGTGGGACTTTGATAAAGGTAAGGACGAATGGTGAGATCCTGTGTGATGGCGTCTGTGTGCCGGAAGATGTGTCAGAGAGGAGCCTGTGGCCCCTCGGCCCTGAAGCATGTTGGTAGCTTCCTGCCTCAGACTTTAAACTGTGAACTACCAGGCAACAAGGAGCCGTGTATTCACACCCCTTCTCGTGCCTCTTTCCTCAGGGAAAACAAAAAAGCTCAAATTCAAGCTGTACCTTCCCTTTGGCAGCACAGGCTACAGCTCAGGGTCCACATCCGAAAGGTGCCCCCCAGTCTATGGCCATACCGCCCTGAAAATGCCCGATCTCATCTGAAAGGTGCCCCAAGACCCTTCCTGCCAGGCAGCCACCACTTTGTAGAATGTGAGCTAGCTAGTGGTTCTTAACCTTCTTAATGCTGCAACCCTTTAATGCAGTTCCCCATGTTGTGGTGACCCCCAACCGTTAGAATTATTTTTGTTGCTACTTCATAACTGCAATACTGCTACTGTTATGAATTGCAATGTAAAGATCTGTATTTTCAGATGGTCTTAGGTGACCCACGGAAAGGGTCACACGACCCCCAGGTTGAGTATCACTGTCTTAAATGAAGTTTCACACAGCTTCCAGTGAGAGAGGCTTGTTTGCAGTGAGGGACCTGTGGTCAGCCTTGCTTTGAACAGCCTGAGTTCTGAGTGGGTAAGTGGATTGGTTGGTTGGTTGGTTGCCTGGCTTGGTTCTTAACTTTTCTTCCCATTAGTATTTATTAGAGGTCAGGGCTGTGAGAAGAAAACCATTGCCACCTCAGCCGCCTGTCCTGTGGGGTGTGTCATCACTGGTGTTGGGAGTCACAGAGACACGCGTCTCAGATGGAAGGGAAGATGGTGGACTTGTAAACTGGTCTACAATAAAATGTCACATTGCATTACATTAAAAAGAAGAAGAAAGAAAGAAACCATCATTTTTGTGGTCCTTGGTGTTGTATCCTCTAGAACTGAAATACCTCATTGGGCTAATAAACCTTTTACTGTATCGTGGCAGCTGTGGGGTCAAATCTGCAAGGAAAGAAGCCAAACATAATCTTTCTTCCCTCCTGATGAGTGTCTTAGCCACTTTGCCTCCTAGTGCTGTGTTTGGGGCCGGGAGAGGTGAACATCCCATATCCTTGTCCTTGAGGCCAGGACTAGACAGAGCTAGCTGTGGGCATTTCTCACAGGGCAGGGCGTGGCCTCTCTTTGGAGTCACTGGCATTGCTCAGATCAACACTTACCCAACCTAGACCTGGCAGTGCCCACATTGACCTGCCGGGAACCAGGGCCAGAACAGAGGCTGGTGTGGAGTTTGAGGTACAACAGCCATGGAGTGTTGTTTAGGATAACTGTGTTAGTCCCTGGTTGGATGTCATCTGCCTGGAGCCATCAGGGATAAGAATAATGTCCATGGTAGATTGGAGGGAACTGAGATAGGTCTAACAGAGACCAACCTCTGACCCATATCTACCATTGCCCGCCTCAGGTTTGGGTCCCTCATGTGCCCAAGGTGATCTTTCCATGCAAAATGAGGCTGTCAGGAATACTAAACAGCTCTCCAGGGAGCCTTGCCCATTTCCTTACAACTTAGTAGCTGAACCTTGCAAGCCAAAGTAGCAGTGCTTCAGCTGTCCAGTTCCCATCTTAGGCAGAAGCCCTCTCTAGTCCTTCATCAGCAAGCATGGTTTTCTCCTGGTCCCTCCTGAGCGCATATCCTGCCTTGCTTTGTCCTTTGCTAAACTTGTCCCACAGCTGCGTAGAGGACCATGGCATCAGCAGCACTGACAGCAACTCCCCAGAATCTCCTCAGCCTCAGTGTCTCTGCTGTAAACCAGAGGTTGCTGTGAGTCAGCTATGCTCACCATGAGGAAACGCTTCCAAATGACCGGAAGCTTCTGCCCTTCTCTTTCCACTGGATTCCAGGGGTAGAAGAGAAAGATAAACAAGCTTAAGTATCCACCCTGGTTCAGGGCCCTCCCTTTCCTCAGACATTTCCCCTCCCACCCCTGCCACTGGGATGGGATCTTGCAGTCAGCCTGCCCAGACTGTCACACACATTCCAGGGTTCACATTTATAAACACAGCCCGGACTTGGTGCCAGCACCTCCCACCTGCAAGAGAACAGCTGTTCCCAAAGGCATGGGGTACCCCCAGCTGTCTATTTTTCGCCAGGACTGCTGCCCATCATCTCCGAGAATAAACACCAGCTAGTAGCTGCGTGGATCTGAATCATGTGGGAGCTTCCAAAGGAGGGGAGTGACTGCCCAGGACACACAAGCAGGCTATATAAGTTCCAGAAGGTTGGACTTCACACAGATCTCTTCCTGTGGCTACTCCCTGCCAGAGACTTATCTACAGAGAACTTACTTGGCATCTACCATGTCTGAGGTAAGAAGAACCTAGTTGGGGCTAGCTGGTGCCAAGGAAGTTGGGAGGGGCAAGACTGGACACTAATTGCTGGTGTCGGCTTTGGACTAAAAGGCAAGCCTAACAAGAGACCCTGCGGCCCTGGGAGGCTGGGCTCAGTGAGGACACCCCGGTCCCACCAGGCTCTGGTGAATGGCTTTGGTTGTCCCACAACTTGTGAGGTGTTGGGGGTGGGGAGAACTTAGGTAGACCGGTGTGTGCTTTTGAGTGTGTATGGGGGAGCTGGCTTAGTACGTCCAGTTGTATATATTCGTCACCTGGAGGAAGAGTGACTGTGCCTATAGGTCACAGCTGTGTCCTTCCCTTTTCCCTAGCAGGGTGTGTCTCTGGGCTTGTGTTTCCCTGGGAGCCTTGCCCAGGCAGAGGGAGGGAAGCCCTGC